CACACAAAGTAACCACAATTTTAATATTATTCATATGGCTAGTGTCAATGGGCACAGAAATACGAGTATATGTAACAATTATAAAATATGTGTGCTTATGGTTTTATACAAATACTGCGGCTCTTATATAAGCACCGATTATTGTAGAGAGATGAATGAAAATAAGCTTGTAGTCATTATGTAGAATGGAGCGAAAGCAAGCAGCTAAAGGGTTGTTTGTGAGCAGAGAATATTTAAACAGTATAAAAAGAATTACTCATCTTCTCTTCGTTCGAGAACACGTAGACTTTTTTTTTGTCTGTAAGATATGCTTACGCATACAGTTGCTGAATGCGGACGAGGATGGATGAATTAATTGAAAACAAACAGATCTATCTCTTAACGAAAAGTCTATTCCATCTACTAATTTCAACGTTTGCCTTTCGGTTTTCGATTAACTCTCGATTCAAGGTTTAGCTTTTTCTTAATGAGAAACTATTTAACCACTTTTTACGGCAGTTGTGCAATTAGTTTGAGAAAAATCGTCCAATCAGTCTAATTCCAGAAAGTAAATAAAACACACTGAATGCCGTCTATACCCGATTGAAATCTCTCTTGGATATAGAGGGTGGCCCAAAATTTATCCGGCAGTCTTTAACTACCGATCACATTTGGCTACCCTATCTCTATTTTTCCAATTTAGGATCTATATCTAAAAGCTGTTTATTCCAAGAAATATATTTTTGAATTAGTTAATCGTCTTGTTCGAAATGCAAACCGTCAGCTTGAATCAGTGTTGGCGGTGAGTGCGGATGTGAGTGTGAGTGTTGGTCTTGTATTCACCCACACCCACATCCAAAGAAGATCCTTTCTGTCATCCGCTTTGTTAAAGAGAAAATGTTGAAAGATAGATTCTTTAATGTCAACGAAGTTTGATAAAACTTCATAAAGTATCGATCTTCCTTAGCAAACAGGTTTTCCCTAGTCAGAATATGAAGTGCACAAATCTTGAGAAACTATTTTATGATTTGAGATTTCTCGACTTTGAAAAATGTTTGATCAGATTTTATAAAGTAGAGTTGTTTGAAAAATAGCTTTTCCTTGATCAACTGACAAGTTTCTCGTTACCCATTACTGTTACGTAACAAGTGGCAACGCAACAAACAAGTAATGACAAATTCTCATCCATCATAAATTTCACAGTATCCGATTGAATTCAGTCCGAGATTCAATTAGTTACGTGGAGCACGCATGTAAGCTGTGTATGAAAAATACGATTTAAGTGTCAAGTCTTCACAGATACTTTTTCGAAATATTTGCTAACCATAAGCGACACATAATTCTAGTACAGCAAGTTCCAAGTTCAACTCCTGGCTTTTATACATCGACGCAGAACTCTTTGTGCTTTAAAAATTTTCGAGTGACGTTTATACTAGATTGAATCTATCAGAGTAGCAGAAAATATATATTATGAGATATGATGGCTTACTCTAACTATTGGATGAGTATTTATTGCAATAATGAACGCTTCAAGAATGAAAGCAAAAGCAAATTCCACAAAGAAAGTCGATCCAAACTAAAAGAGATAGAGTGTGAAAGTGAAGAACCTTTATCTATCTAACGTAAATATGAAAGAGGCTGTAAGGCGATTCGAAAGAAAACGTTATTCGGCACATATATGATCTGATTAACTACTGCTGGAAAACCTAACAACTGTAGTGAACAAATCGATTTTGATGCACTGTGTTCTACAGTATTTAATAATCTAGTGAATTGTAGCACCTAGTCTAAAATCATAGTATTTGATCTGCAAGAAGTCTTCAGATGAGTATGGATGCTTCCATCAAGAGAGAATGTTTGAGCTCATTACTCTCTCTCGTCAGAGTCACGAAAACGAGAGAGCATAATGCTGTAATTTCAAGCAGTCTTGCCAAGAAATTGCCAAAAAATCTGAAATTACAATTTTTCTCTTCAATCTCTCTCGTACATAACAATGAAAAATGGCTAGGATTACTTCATTTTTCATTTCGCTGTGATGGAAGAAAAGAAAAAAGGAAAGGAACAATTACGTATCTTCAGAGTACTAATGGATTACTGCGTGGATGTAAAATGGAAAGTAACGACATAATAATATGAATCCGTTGCTTTTCTTTTCCTTTTTTCTTGTAACAAATAAGTCTGTAAGCAGGCGTTCTTTTTCTTTTTAAATTACAACATAATGTCCTATATACCACCATCTTTGATGAAAAGAAAGAAAGCATTCATCATGCAAACTTATAAAGCATATTCAAAATCGAATATAGAGTGTACTTCTGAAAATAATAGTTACAAGAGATGGTGATCGTTTACTACGATAGATTAGGATAATAGTTTTTAAAAGTAAATTTTAGTAAGTGCTCATAGTCAAATGACTACGAACACTTTATACGTTTTCTTCGCAGATAACTAGCTTATGTTTTAGCAAATTTCAATTCCAATTTTTTCAAAACGACTAAGGAAAGAGAGAGCTTCGAAATTTAGTACATTAAATGGATGATACAAAGGTATTTAACAATAATAAGTTTCATTTCAATTAGGTTTATACTTTTTCTTTTTAATAAAATAAATCCATTCTAATAGTGCATTCACACAAAAGAACCAACTTTTTTTGATAGTCTCGGAAATATTCAATTTCATGTAAATTCCTCAGCTGTGGAAAGATATGTTTGTCAGGAAGTTTGTACTAGAGAGTTGGAACCATCTGATTGAAAAACGCATTTTGAAAAAATATTGCGTTGCTCCAGAGCTATAGTTAAAATACTACGGTAATGAACTCATGCCTTATTTTGAAGACTTTCTACTTTATTTCACACATTTGAAAAGTGACATAACTTCCTTTCCTTTTATTTCCATATTTTATAGTTTTTTACAATAAGGAAAAAAAGTCAGTCTACAGTCGTTTAATTTCAATGTTTTTATCTTGCTTTTGAAAGAATATTTTCTGATTTTCTGTTCTAGAGATCAGTGCAATATGAAATGGCAACATTCGATAGATGCATCAAGAAAAAAAGAATGAAAGAAAAACTAAATGACATCTCGAGAAAGTCTCGAGTGAAAATTGAAATCGAAATCACTCTCCACTGTTCATTCTTTAATTTTCAATAATTCTTATATTTTGAATTAAGTTCTATAAGGATGAATCAAAAATGTTTTCGCACTTATTGATTATTAGTTTCGAAAGATATTCTTTTATTTATATAGATCTTGTTTATTTTTGAAGAAATATTTTGTATCGACTAGTAAAGAGAAAATAAAATATCTTTTCCAGAGGACATACAAACATGAAAATTTCAATGGGAAACCTCTGGTAAATATTAATTAGTTATTTCTTTACGCGAATAATGTAATTCATATTTTTAAAGAAAATTCCGTAAATAATTATCAATGCAACCACATGTTACATATTCTTTATCATTGACGATTGAATTTGATTTACATGAGCTTCTTCGAACCAATGCAGTTAATGTTCAATGAATGTGGTGATTGATCTACTTAAGTTTCGTTAGTTGAAGTTGTTGCACATCGATCATCTGTATTTCCACCAACAACATTAAATCCATCACTAATAAACATGTTCATCGGAGTAATTAAGCTATAAATATTGAACTAAGATAGTAAATGTGCCCAGTGTCCAACAACTATTGCAACAAATAAAGACTGTAAAATTTAGAAAGAGATAATCATATGCTCTATAAAATGTCATTAGATATAAAAATTTCTTTTTTAAGATTTATCATTAGTACGATCATATTATTGACTAAAATATGATGATTTATAAACAACTCAACATCAACAATCAACATAATATTAATATAAAGTAGTTCAAATGAAAACCTATTTCAACATAATTGTCAAATCTTGATAAAATCTTGCAAAAAAAAATCATTTCTTATTCATGGTGCAGCATATGTTAACAGAAGAATATATTGAATATAATGTAACGTTGTGTTCAGACGTTTGCTGCACACACAATAAAAGAATAACCATCACAGGAAAAATGAAAACTAACAATAAATAATAATAAAAAAAAAGAACAATAGAAACAAATTGAAAACATAACTTAATCTAATTGATTCAATAAATAAAAAATTAATTAAAAGAAAGAGAATTTATTTCTAAACAATGAAAATAAGATATCATAGCTATTTCAACAATATTTTATCTCAAACTGATATTATTAATTATTTGGTGTGGGTGTGGTTCAAGAGAAGCCTCGCATCCACACCCTCCTGTATCTAAGCATACTCTTCAAACCAAAACCGGATTGTCCTCAAATCTGTATAGGTTTAATCAACTTTTCTATGTTTAATTTTCTTTTTCAGCAATTTGATTTATATATGAAGAATTTAGAGAAAGATTTCAATATATTAGCATCCGAAAAAGAATAGCTTGAACGAACAATATAAAAATGAAGTAAATGAATGTCGTTTTATCATATGACAATAATCTCTAAGGTCTTTTATCAAATGATGTTCGTCTTGATTTAGAAAAAACAATTGATTTGTTAAAACAACATTAAAATCAAACCTAATAATATATTGTATTTCATTCTATCCAAAAAACTATTTTTTCATAACTTTTACGTTGAACTTTTTCTCTAATATCTGTTGATTGTTTCTATGCATAAAATTCAATTGATTTGTAGTTACAATCGTTGTTTTTTTTCTCTTTCTTTCTCAATAGCGTAACTATGTTCTTACGCTTTATATAATGCATTTAAGAACAACACTCCTTTTTCTTTTCTCTCTCTCTCTCTCTCTCTGGTCTTTTATTTCTTCACACCATCAAACGTGCATGCAATTTTATTTTTCTGAAGTATCCCTAAAAATGTTCGATCACATCATGAAAAATCTAAAAGTAAAAATGTGCAATACAAATGTATTTACATTTATTTCATATAATTTAAGTTAAAAGAAAAATTGAATTGTTATTTATGTATTTTCTATTTCTTTGTCCTATACTTCAGATTAAATATCGAATAGATGATGATTTTTGAATCATTTTATCAAAATCCAATTCTACGTGAATATTTAAGTGGAAATCCATTTAATGTAACACCATGGGTACAAGATCCAGTTGGTATATATCATCCATTTGTATTTGAATTCGAAAAAAAATTTCTTGATAAAACTTATGCCGATAATATTTATGCCTGGATGAATAAATGGTGGTGGTTAAGTATTGTCTATTCAGTTATATATATTGGATTTATTTATTATGGTCGTTCATTAATGGAAAAACATGAACGTTATGAATTACGATTATCATTAATATTATGGAATATTTCATTAGCTTTATTTAGTCTATTTGGTATGATACGTTGTGTACCTGAAATGATTTACGCTTTAAATAAAAAAAGTTTATACTATACTATTTGTAATATTGATTACGCTTATGGTGTAACTGGATATTGGTATAGAAAATCAAAGGCATATATATTTCGTTATTGTCACTTTTCTCTCTCTTTCATAGGATAACAATATTTTGTATATCAAAAGTTGCTGAACTTATTGACACATTATTTATTGTATTACGAAAACAAAAATTAATTTTTCTTCATTGGTTTCATCATGCTACTGTTTTAATTTATGCATGGTATAGGTAAGAAAATGAATAGATATTTTTTATTAATTTAAATTAATAAAAATTATCTTTAATAGTTATCATAATTGGACAGCTAGTGGACGTTGGTTTGTATTTCTCAATTATATCGTTCATAGTAAACTTTTCTATTATATTGTATTTATTTTTCTATTGTTGTTTCTATATAGCATTGATGTATTCTTATTATGCATTTCGTGCTATGAAATTTCACATACCAAGACAGATTCAAATAACAATAACTACATTTCAATTATCACAAATGGTTGTCGGATGCTTTGTTAATTATAAAGCCTATTTCTATAAACAAAATGGAGCACCATGTTCTGTTGCTTATGATAATATATTTTGGTCTTTTTTTATGTATGCAGTTTATTTCGTTTTATTTCTTCAGTTCTTTTTTGTATCTTATTTATCAAAAAAACCAATAACAAAACATTGCGTTAAAATAGAAGATAAAAAAAAGAAATAAACATTTAGAAATCTAGTTCATCATAAGAATTTAGCTTGAATGTTTTTTCTTATTCTTGTCTTCTTATCGAATAGATTTTCAAGAAAAAGTGCGATGTAGATGAATGTTGTTGTAAATCCTATCCACATTCAGACATATCCATACTCACACTCGAACACTGAGAAAAAGATTTTATTTTCGTTTTTACAATTATCTCCATGATTTCAATTAATAGGTTTCGTATTCATTATGTAATAGAAATGAAAATAATCACTTGTCGTAACAGAATCAGTAGGGAAGATGTGAACGAATTCATTTTCATAACTTTGAATTTTGTCTAACGATAACATACGTTTCTTTTTATCTTAGTAAAAAGTCACTTTTATAGTTATTTTAAAAAAATTCAAATACCATGGATTAAAGTATTTTGAAATTTCTTTTTGTGAATACATATTTCAATGCATCCACTTTAGTCTATTTGTGACGAAGAAAAGTTCGCCCTTTGCAATTTTACACTGAAACGTAACATTCTTCAGTATTTATTCAGAACTTTATGCTTTGTAAGTTTACAATAAAGGAAAGGAAAATTAAGATAGCTTTTTAAAAATTTTCATTTTCTTCCGTCATAATGCTATTTAAATATCGGGACTCACACTCATAATCAATTAAAGTAAATGACTGTGGACGTTTTTAATTGAGCAGCGAGAAATAAGTCTCATTAGTCAGTTTAAAATTGTCTCATTAGACGATTTATTACTTTGAACAGTGAAACGATATCATTTTTCTCAAGACAATATACATCCTTTATGTTTAATATACTATGATGGTGAATACTTAAAATCAGTTGCATTCCTATTGATCAATATGATCTGGGCTCCCTGGACTCACCTGCGCTAGTAATTCGAAGAAAATAGTCGAGAGAACTAGTGACACATACAGATATTCTGGAATCAATTGAATCCCTTTGACTGAATGGAATTATGAAATAAGGGTGTGGGTATGGGTGTGTGGGTGTGGGTGTGGGTGTGGGTGTGTGTGTGGGTGTGGGTGTGGGTGTGTGTGTGTGTGTGGGTGTGGGTGTGGGTGGGTGTGGGTGTGGGTGGGTGTGGGTGTGGGTGTGTGGGTGTGGGTGTGGGTGTGTGCGGGTGTGGGTGTGGGTGTGGGTGTGGGTTTGGGTGTGGGCGTGGGTTTGGGTGTGAGTGTGGGTGTGGGGTGTGGGGTGTGGGTGTGGGTGTGGGTGTGGGTGTGGGTGTGGGTGTTGGGCTGTGTATGGATATTCATCTGATCCGTAAAAATATGTAAGCCCACATACAAGGCAATCCAGACACTCACACATCACATCCCACTCCCACACCCACGCCCCATATCCCACACTCACACCCACACCCCTCGTCAGTTACTTACCAAAATACAATAATTAAAATGAAATTTTTCAAAAAAAAACTTCAATACAAATAATTTCCAACTTGGCTGAATGTTCTGTATGGATAATGAGTCACTTTTTTGTGGAACAACACAGGTGTCACTTATACCGCACAAAAAAGGCTCTGTTTGTTTTTCTTTTTGTTCCCTTTTTTCGTTTTTTTCTCTTGAGTGTGGGTGTGGGATGTGGGGTGTTGGTGTGGGAGTGGGATGTGGGGTGTGGGGTGTGAGTGTCGGGATTGCCTTGTATGTGGGCTTACATATTTTTACGGATTAGATGAATATCCACACACAGCCTAACACCCACACCCGACACCGACACCCACACGCCACCCACACCTCACACCCACACCCACACCCACACCCACACCCCACACCGACACCCACACCCACACCCACACCCATACGCCGCCCACACCCACACCCCACACCGACACCCACACGCCACCCACACCCACACGCCACCCACACCCACACCCACACCCCACACCGACACTCACACCCACACCCACACCCACACCCCACACCGACACTCACACCCACACGCCGCCCACACCCACACCTCACACCCACACCCATATGCCACCCACATCCACACGCACACGCCACCCACACCCACACCCCCGTAAAAATATGTAAGCCGACATACAAGACAATCCCGACACTCACACCCCACATCCCACACCCACACCCTACATCCCACACCCACACTCAAGAAAAAAAACGAAAAAAAGGGAACAAAAAGAAAAACAAACAAAGCTTTTTTTATGTGGTACAAGTGACACCTGTGTTCTTCCACAAAAAAAATCACTCATTATCCATACAGAACATTCAGCCAAGTTGGAAATTATTTCTATTGAAGTTTTTTTTTTTTGAAAAATTTCATTTTAATTATTGTATTTTGGTAAGTAATTGACGACTATGCTTTCTAAGAGAGTCTTCTTATATTTTAAGCGCCATAATTATGGTGAAGGTATAGTTAGGATACTTATTACAGAGAATGGAGATAAAATTAAAATGGATATTCACCGCGGACTTTCGTTTATCTGAAAGAATGACGACTTATTTATAAAGGAAAGCCTATCGAAAGTACCAACCTGTATGCATTTTACAGCTTTATTACTTTAGTGGTTCTTTCTTGTGGAAATATGTCTACAATTGAGATGATCAACTTTCTATCCATGCATCCTATTCTATTTCACGAGGGGTCCAAATTAACCTGCCGGTTTTCAGAACTGTGTTTTGGACAAATAAGTAACTTTATTTCAAAAACAAATATGGCATCAGAAAGAGCCAAAAAAGCACTACATTTTCATAAAAGAACTTATTTAATATAATCTGCTTTAGTTTTCAAAACTTTGAGAATGCAACATGGCCAAGAATCGATACTGCTTACCAGCCTGAGGATGTGGGTATGTGAGTGCCGATATATCTGTGTTCTTTTCCTTCTACACCCATTCACCGTAAAGAACTTCTTGATATGCCTAGCTTACGAGCGATTTCTCATAGTCTTTTTGGCGCGCTTTGCGTGGAAAACGGCCTTTGACCTTGATGACGACACGTTTTGTTCTTACTGTTCGAATGGGTTCTGGTGACTTTTTCAATTTAACATTGTCGACTTTTAGATACATTGATTTCCCGTGTCGAATGTTTCGTTCACTAACAAAATTGCATAAATCCTTTGAGATTTCTACAAGTGATTTTCCAGCATTGAGCTAGAACAAAAGTACTTTTGGATATCTTTGATTTTATTCTATATCTAAGACAACATAAGCTACCAGAGAAGACGTTAACTGTAGGGGAATTGCGCTTGAAAAACTCTATCTCGTAGTATAAGTGTAATTTTAATTCGACGGTTCTGTAATACTTTAATCAAAAGACAAAAGACTGGCAGTTTGATCTGGAACACCCATTATGTCATTTGCGCCATTTTCTATGTTGATGAGGAGCTATAAAAATAATGCCAATGATTGTTCAATCAAGACTGAAGGTAATACCTTCATGCTTTCAAAGTTTGTCCACTGATTAAAATGAGTGGACCGTTAATAATGAGTGCGAAAACTTTTTCATATCAAAAAGATGCTTACTGCACAAACCAAACAAAGTTTCAAAGCTTGTCGTCGATGCAAAAATGTGTGCCGGTATTAGTGGGAAAATAGCTGCACCCATGCCAAAACCTATACCGATAAATCCTCACTCACACTCATATACAAATACCGATATCCACAACCACACAGTCATACACTTTCACATACAGCCACACACACACTCACACCCAGAGTAGCGACTACCTAAAAGTTATAATTGCATAGATTGTGAATTTATTGGTCTATAAGATAATTTGGCGAGAAGCTATATTGCATTCTTCTAATTTTTTACATGCTTTTCTATCTTTACTTGTGGTAGGATACTGTTAATCAAGTTGAAGAACTGATGAACATGCAGAGATCTGATCGCTACGGGAATAACGATATTTCAGAGCTTGTAAAAGGACAAAGCGGGCCAATATCCGGTTACGAGAATTCACCCATTATGACATTAGAGAACGCGGTGCAAAACATGATATCATTGCTTATTGGTCTCATGGAGCATGTTGCTCAAGCCAAAGCAAAATGTAATAAAACAAATGCTTACAACCTGACACTGGACGAATCAGCAGCAATATACCTATATACGATGCCCATAAGCTTCTTTTGTCATCTAAACGAAGACCTACGAGCTGAAAACCGAGATAAACTCAAGCGTTGGTTTGGATTTTTGAAACTATTTATCAATGGTCTGAAAAAATTGCCACCAGTCAACACACAATTGTGGCGAGCTGTTAAGGGCAAAGTTGGCAAAGATTTTAGCAACGATGAAGTGAAAACGTGGTGGAGTGTAACATCGTGCTCGAAGAAGCTCAATGTTGTTGAAGCTTTCCTAGGTAGTGAGGAGGGCACATTATTCTTAATCAATGCACGTCAAGGCAGAGATATAACCGCATTCTCCGCATTCCCAGAAGAAGAAGAGATCGTGCTGCTGCCTGGAAGCCATCTGCATTACCACCCAGACGAACATCTTGAATACAACAATTCTTTTTTCATTGTTCAATTAAAAGAACTTCCATTGGATGCAAACGATGATAGGTTAGCCTATGTGAAATATAGTCGAAAGCCGAAAACTTTGAAACATTAGAACCTATTGAACTTCTCTAACATTGTGGTCGATAAGAATCTTTTCGGTTCCACACAGTGTTGCCGAAGGGAAAACGAGACTCGATGACTTTGTCGCGGAACCAACAAAGATTGAGTATTTTCGGACCGAGATAAAAAGATTTCTCCTCCGGGAACAGCTTCAGTTTAAAATCAATCTGTTCAGAATGGAGGGTTGTTATGAAGATCTCCATTTGAGTTGGAAGGTTTAAGTTTTTGACAAGTTTAGATTTGAAAAAAGCTTTGAGGAATAATACAGTGAAAGCAAGAAACATAATACATTTCATGAGTGTCTAAATCGTACATAAGTTTCTAACCAGCTTTACGCATAGTCGTCGTTTGACTGTAGCGTGAAGTATGAGGCTCGCTTTTCAGATGTTTTCTCGCATTTCTATGTAAATGAAGGTT